CCTGACTGGTAACCGAACTGGCAACCCCTTGGTGCATGGGTTGACACTCACACTGGCTGGGTCTGACTCCTTTTTAAATTTTATTTTCTTGAATTTATTGGAGTGATGTTGGTTAATAAAATTATATAGATTTTAGAGTTCAATTCTATAATAATCATCTGTTTATTACCATTTATCCTCCCTTCCATTACTATTTATCTTCCATCCAACCCCTTTTCTTCAGTAATCACCATACTGTTGTCTGTGTCTATGAGTGTTTGTTTTTATTTGCTTAATCCCTTCACCTTTTTCATCCAGTCCCCTTTCCCTCTGATAGCTGTCAGTCTGTTCTCTGTATCTGTGAGCCTGTTTCTATTCTGTTTGTTACTTTATTTTGTTTATAGATTCCACATATGAGTGAGATCATATGGTACTTGTCTTTCTCTGACTGGCTTATTTCACTTAGCATAATACTCTTCAGGTCTATCCATACTGTTGCAAAAGGAAGATTTCCTTCTTTTTTATGGCTGAGTAGTATTCCATTATGTAAATGTATCAGAGCTTGTTGATTCACTCATTTACTGATGGGCATTGGGCTGCTTCCAATCTTGGCTCTGGCAGCCTAGCTCTCCTGCTCAGTGCTCAGACCTCCCTGGGCCCATAGAACCCCAGGCAGGCTTCAGCCCCGGGGCCTCTGTACTCACTGTTCTCGCTAAGTGACTCCTTCTTTCTCCAGGCAACTGCATGTTTAACTTCTCACTTCTTTTTGCTGCTTGATGGAAACTTCCTCATTGTGATATGTATGTATGTATGTATGTATGTATATATGTGTGTGTGTATATATATATATATATATATATATATATGGTTTAAAATTGAACCTGCATCCACGCTCAGGCCTCATTCTCTACCTACCTCTCTGTTCTATTTTTTTTTTTTTTATCCTCACCCGAGGACATTTTTCCATTTTTTGTTCAGATAGAGCGGGAGGGAGAGAGAGGAAGAGAGAGAGAGAGAAACATCGATGTAAAGGGACACATCGAGTGGCTGCCACCCGCACGACCAACCAGGGCCGGGGACAAACTGCAACTGAGGTACGTGCCCTTAGTGGGAACCGAACCCGGGTCTCCCTATACCGCAGGCCGATGCTCCAATCGCTGAGCCAAACCGGCCAGGGCTCTCTGCTCTATTTTTGTCCATCTAATACTTAATCATTTAGAACACTAAGTATTTTGCTTGTTTATTTTGTTGGCTGTCTTTCTTATTGCTCCATCACTATATCAGGGCTAAGTGCAATTCCTATCTGCTGGTAGATAGGCAGATTTTTCTTTGTTTTTATTTTTATTCATTGATTTTTAGAGAGAGAGAGAGGAAGGAACAGAGAGAAAGAGATGCCGATTCATTGTTTTACTTATTTATGGATATACTGGTTGTTCATATGTGCCCTGACCGGGGATTGAACCCACAACCTTAGTGTATCAGGGCCTCGTTTGTTTTTAAGGAAAGTAATTTAAAAGGTTGAAGTGTTCTACAACAAAGTACCCAGAAATACTCCCAAGCTACTTTGCAAAATCCATAAGAAGAAACCACATTTTCTTACTTCTTTTATTTTAAATGTAGATGGCCTTGAATTGCTCAGTTTGCATCTCTTTAAAAAAGAAACTACATAATTTTCTTGGCTTTAGGTACATTTCATCTAGCAATTGGAAAAAGGATTACCCTGTTAGGCCAGTGGTTTAAATCCAGGCAAAATAAACACCGCACTTGGCATGTAAGTAGCTGGTTTAAACAGACTCTTAACCCTGAGCTTACCTCCCTCCTCAGTACTGCTTCCTGAATATGAATAAGGCCATTGACGTCTTTAAGAAATTTTTTAGGAGTGGTGGAAATTTGATTTGAAGATATTCTCCTGGTTAAATTCAGTTTTTTTAAGGTCTGTACAATTAAAAAAAAAATTTTTTTTTTAAAACAAACTTGCTGAGTGAACGCCACATGCCAGGCACTGGGCTAGGTGCTGGGCAGCCCCTCCCTTCCCCGGTCCCTGTTCTGAATGCAGCAGTTTTTCAAATAGAGACAACATAGTTAATCAACAAATGTGTTCAAATATGCTTTGATTGGCAATGTTTCAGTTCTAGGCACTTGGGAAATACAAGAGAACAAAACAAAAAGACCCCACTCCCATGGGCTTACATTCCCATGTTTATTAAATAATGGGTTGTGCTGAGAAAAGTGTAGTGAACTGGATGGGACACAGAATTAGCTTAAAACATGCTCCCTGTTTCTAGGGAATTGTGAAATTACTGCGGGAGATAACAATAAGATAATGGTAAATAAAATGAACCAGTTAGAAATTCTCGCAGGTACAACTGCATAGAAGAGGCTGAGAGGGTGGTGGAAATGCAGAGAAAGGAAATGAAAGTGTTAGGATAAGTAGCTAGTTAGACATGGGCTGGGGCAGGCAAAAGGAGAGGAAGGGGGTAGATTATACGGCCATGTGCATTCCTGCACGTCTATAGGGCCTGAGGTAAAATGTTAAAGCAGAAACAGGCTTCATCATATCCAGAGTTACGATAATCAGATCTCTGATTCAATCTCAGAACATTGTTCAGCCACATAGGTCACCATTTTCAGTTGCATAGCACGTGCACAGGTGATTAAGCAAGAGCGGGAGCTTAAGGGACAGGAGTGAAGAAGTCCAGGAAGACAAAGCCCATAAATTCTGAGCTCTGCATCGTCAGGACACTCTCACTCTGAGGTGTCCACTCAGTCCAGTCTGAGTGTATTTCCACACTTCTAACACATTCTTGCTTGCTTAGCTGCACTTTGTCTCTTGATTGAAATCTTTCCTTCAAGAAGGCAAGAACCAAGAACCAAGGTCTCGTCTGTCTTGCCAGTAACAAAAGGGCTCACCAGAGGAGGAGGACTTTGAGGAAGGGTGCCTGGGCTGACAGATGGAGTTCCAAGGCCCACCCACAAAGATACAAGAGTGGGGGCATTTTCAGCCCTGGCCGGTTTGGCTCAGCGGTTAGAGCATCAGCCTGCGGTCCCGAGAGACCCGGGTTCGGTTCCCGCTAAGGGCATGTACCTTGGTTGCAGTTTGTCCCCGGCCCTGGTCGGTCGTGCGGGTGGCAGCCACTCGATGTGTCCCTTTCACATCGATGTTTCTCTCTCTCTCTCTCTCTCCCTCTCTCTCCCTCCCACTCTACCTGAACAAAAAATGTCCTCGGGTGAGGATAAAAAAAAAAAATAAAAAAAAAAAAAAGATACAAGAGTGGGGGCATTTTCAAGTAAAGCAAGCTCAGTGAGTGAGGGTGTGGAGAACGGCTGGTTTTTTTTTTTTTAATCCTCACCGGAGGATATTTTTCTATTTATCATCAGATAGAGTGGGAGGGAGGGAAAGAGAGGGAGAGAGAGAAACATTGATGTGAGAGAGACACATCAACTGGTTGCCTCGTGCAAGACCCTACCAGGGCCGGGGGCAAACTGCTACCGAGGTATGTGCCCTTAATGGGAATTGAACCCAGGACTCATTAGTCTGTGGGATGGATGCTCTAACCACTGAGCCAAACCAGCCAGGGCTATGCGTGGTTTTGATGTGTTTGCAAGGCATTGTTTATGGCCTCACCAGGATGGTGAATTTATCTATTCTTTCTGGACTTAAAGCTTTCTTGATCAACTATTCTATGCTAAATACTCTTCACCAGGCATAGTGGTGAGCAAAACAGAAAAAGTCTCTTCCTCATGGAGCTTACATTATGGAGAGGGATGCTGCACAGTTAAACATGTGAATAAGCAATACAATCTCAGATAGTGGCAAGAAAATAAAGCAAGATAGGGCCATAAAGGGAAAAGGGGTGGGAAAGCTATCAAAAAGGGTAGCCAATGTGTGTGTGTTGGGGGGGGGGGGGGCAGAAAATGGTGGGCAGAGTTTCAACTTGTGGATTAGGGAATAGGGAACATGGCAGGTCTCTGAACAGAGAAAGTAGGAAAGGTCAGTCTAACAGTCACCTTCTAGACATGAGATGCACAATGGAGGAGATGCCTTCACATCTCTTCCTCTTATGAATCTCAAACGCTTACTTAAGAAGGCCATGTGTCTCATTTCCTTCTTACAGAAAACCATGAGGACACAGTGGTCTCAGCACACACTGCCTACTGTTGTTCAAACTAGAGCCCGGAGTTCTACATCAGCATTCTCTAAAACAAATACCAGATCTCACATGCTGAATATTTTAGAAGCATTTCAAGGTTTACTCTATTTAAAAAGGAAGGAGGAAATATTTTGCTAATAGTCATCGCAACTGCCAAAGTCAAATTTTCACTCCAAAGTTTTAAATGACTTGGGCCGTCCATTTTTGAAATATAACATAGTATAAATGGTTTCTTGTAAAAGTGAGCAAAACGAAACAAAACAAGAAATGACACTTGAAACCGATCCTCCTGCAAGTCTTCCATCTCCCTTAACTTTCTAACCATTAACAGTCAGAATCTTAGGATGCGTTTTCCGTTAAGGTAAACTTTTGTAATGACCTTGATTGCTGGCTACATTTGTACACACGACGAAAAGGAAATCGACACAACTGGGAAAGCGCTGTGTGGACTGGGTTCCAGGGGCCACCAACACTAGCCCGGGACCTCAGTGCTCTGAGGTCACCAGTGCCGGGAAGCCTCTGACGTCGCTCAGGAGCCCGTCCCTGGGGTTTGCACAGGTGGGAAGGGGGCCGGCGGGAAGTGGAAGGGCTTTGCGCCCGGACTGCTGGGAGGAGAGTTGGGGCGGGGCCGGAGCGTGCGGAATGAGGGCTGGCGAGGGGGCGGTGGTGGGCCGCGGGGCGGGGCGGGGCGGGGCTGGGGTGGCCGGGAAGAGGGGCGGGGTAGAGCCTGGGGCGAGGTAGGGGTAGGGTGTCAGGCTGGATGTGGGGGGCGGGGCCGGGGAGGGTTGTCTAGAGAAAAGTGGGAGGCAGGGCCCGGAGAAGGGCGGGGCAGGGCACGGGGCCGGGGGCGGGGCTCGGGGCGCCCTGGACGGTCCAGGGCGCCCTGGACTAGTCCTTTGGTGTTGCCCCGGCGCGGACACGCGCTTCGTCTTCTGCTCTTCCGGGCGTGGGGACAGGAGGGTCCCGAGGGTCCGCGCAAATTTGGAGTTCCTGCGAGTCCGGGTCCCCGCAAGTCCCGGGTCCAAGTAGTCCCGGATCCGAGCCGTCTCGAGGCCGGTGTCCAGTTGCTCCAGCCTCGCCCAGAGCGCACGGGCCAGACGAGCGCGGGGTTCAAGAGGGGAGGGACGCTTTCTGTGGGAAGATGCGGAAGCCCGACGGGAAGATCGTGCTTTTGGGGGACATGAACGTGGGAAAGACGTCGCTGCTGCAGAGGTACATGGAGCGGCGCTTCGCGGACACGGTCAGCACGGTGGGCGGTGCCTTCTACCTGAAGCAGTGGGGCTCCTACAACATCTCCATTTGGGACACCGCAGGTGAGGGCTGGCGCCTCCTGGACCCACAGCGTCTGGGAGCTCTGGAGGGATGAGGGCGAGGGGCATCCCGTCCAAAGCGTCCCCAGGGCCCGGGTCCTACAGGGAGGAGTCCTCCAAGGCCAGACCCCCAGGGCCGGTGTCCCCCAGGGCAGGTCTTCTCCGTTACACACAGTGTCCTTTCCTCCCACGGCAGGTGACCGCATCTCAGGGATCAGGCCCCCAGTCACAGTACACGTTCACCCTACACTCTTCTCTGTTCCCACTTGTTTTTTTGTTTTGTTTTGGTTTTTTTGCTGGTTGAGAAATCCTTACTGTTCATCCACTTGGTGCATTTGGTGACCATACAGTTGATACTTAAAAAGTACCCCGGGCTCTACAGAGAGGAGCTGTGTCACTTGTGTACCCCATGGCAGTGTCTGGCTCCAGAGCATTACGAGTCTGCACTGAGCCTGCCAGTGATAACCAGACTCATTTAAGTACTATCACAGACATATCTCATTTGATATCTACAACAACCTTGAGGGGTGAGCAAGGCTAGTATAGTTACCCGCTTTTTGTTTTTGTTTTTACAAAAAGGAAACTGAGGCATGGAACCTTCTGCAAGGTTTAGTCAGGAACGTAGGAAACAGAACTCAAGTCTCTCCTCTTAGTCCCAAGCATATCTGCATTTTCAGTTTCTTTGTCATCTGCTTGATCTGGGCTCTTATATGTTATGGAGCTTGAAGTGATTTTCTGTAGCAGCATTTTTACGATAGGTAATGAATTATTTTTAGTGTGTGTAGTATTTGCGCTTTTTCAAAAGCACAACTTAGATTCAAGCTTTCAGTTTACCTGCAAAATTACAATGACAGTTATGGTGTTGCAATAGAATATATTTCCTTACCCACAAAAAAAGAATAAGATACTGTAAGTAAATAAAAAAAATTATATAGTATGTTGTGTTTTCAATGAACATTCTTTTTAGAAGCCTGAAACTTTAAGGCCTGACTTTTTAAATGTCAGCACTTTTAAAATGCTATAAATATCCGAAGGTTCTGTCTAGAATTTTAAAGTTGCCAACTTGGGTGTACCAGTCTGCTAAATAAACAAGATTTTAACTAATTCTCTGTTTAAAACTGAATTAATGATATCCACTGAGGTACATCCACTTCTCTTCCCTCCTTTCTCTCTTTTTTATTGCTGTCTTTTTTGCTATTATGGCAGTTAATGTCTTTGACTAATTTATTACAATCATGGCTGCAAAAACAGCATCTTCCAGGTACACTTCCCTGCTCTTTCCTCCAGCTCCAGGCTGCAAAGTGAGGTTTCTCTAAGATCCTTTACTGCTTAAGCTGACTCTAGCCTAAGCATTTGGTAGCCATGGAACACAGGCTCTAGAAGTCAAATAAAACGAAATGAACACGACTTGCTGCCTGTTTTGGACAAGGCTGCCCCTTTTGCTCCTTTTGTTGACTGGCTGGACTTCACTGCTGTCCTTGGTTTATAAGAGGGTAATGCAGGAATGGCATTGGGGACCCAAACCAAGAGCCCTGCAGTGGCCACCATGAGAACCTGCCCTTTAGCGTGAGGTGTGGTGTTTCTGGAACAGGAGCTGACCTTAGGTTTCAGAACTGGTGCTGGTATGAAGTAGCAGTGTAATTTTGACTGGCCACTTTCTTATTTAGTGATAAGGGCACGATACAGCTGGAATCTTGATCAGCAAAGGATTTTGTAATACAGCTAATAAGATGTTCCGGATACTTTGTTGCGGAGGGTTGGGGTGGGGGACCATGACGACTCATTTCCTGTCTGCCTAAGGTGCCGCCTTCTTGTTCCTGGAATGTGGAGTGTGAGCTCAATCAGGCTCCCCTGGGCATGGGGATGTCCAGGCCCCTTCTACACATTGCCAGCCTCCGGTACACATGCTTAGGGTGACCGAGGCTTAGAGTCAGCCGTCGCACAGCCTACTTCTGTGTTTGGCTCCCCATTGATTGTGGGTTATGGGCCACTTGGAGGGAAAGAAGAGCTATAAATAGATACCTTTTCAGTAATCCCTGTTGGAAATTCAAAAGTTTAACTTTTAAGGGATCCAACTTTTTCCTCCTTCTGTCTTGCTCTTAAATTTTCTTCCTACTTCACAGACATTGTTTTTTAAGTTGTGTTTATTTAAATTTTTATAACCAAGGCAGAAAGATGAGAACCAGCTAGAGAATGATTTGTTTTTTAATACTGCTCTTGGTTGCATGGGGTGGGTGGAGAGGGAGTGTTGGGGTGTAAAGGGTGTTAGGTTTTTTTAATAGTAAAACTAATAGTAATGGGTCAGAATTTCTGTTTTACTCTTGGCATGTCCATTAAAAAACGACAACAAAGTACCTGGCTGCTTGAAGCCTGCAGGACAGGTGAAGCTAGAAAGGGCAGATTTGCTAGGCTGGTAAGTAGGATTTTACTTGATTCATAAGATTCCTTCAGATGGAGGTATGACAATTTGCATGTTAGAGATGGGGAGATATAGCAGGGACTCCCCTTCCCTTGCGCCTCGTGGTTCCGCCCCTTGCCTAGTTGGGCAGATGGATGTGGGACGGTCACCAGATAAGGTTTGGTAAGTCTCAGAAGCAAAAGGAGGTTGCCCAGAGATGAGACAGAGCCCCAAAAGAACTTACTACTACTTGGGCAGTCTAAAAAGATGTTGCTCATTGTTCAGCAAATGTAAACTGAGCCCCTACTGTGCACCTGGGCACTATTCCAGGCTCCATTCTACAGCAGAGATTTTCAACCTTTCTCATTTCATGACACACATTACTAAATTACTAAAATTCTGCAGCACACCAAAAATATGTATTTTTTGCCTATCTGACAAAAAATATAGCTATAATTTTGATTCATTCACACCGGATGGTTATTGTTGTGTTAGCTGTTGTCATTAAAAAAAAAAAAAAAAAAAATTATTAGCCCTGGCTGGTTTGGCTCAGTGGTTAAGAGTGTTGGCCCATGGAACAATGAGTCTCCAGTGTCAGGTTCGATTCCAGTCAAGGGCACGTACCTCAGTTGCGGTTCGTCCCTGGCCCTGGTCAGGGTTGTGCGGGAGGCAGCCAGTCAATATGTCTCTCTCACATTGACGTTTCTCTCTCTCTTTCTTTCTCTCCCCCTCATGCTCTATCTGAAGATAAATGGAAAAATATCCTCAGGTGAGGATAAAAAATAAGATAAAGTAAAATAAAAATATTTCCATTTGACAGTCTAAGGGAAAAAGGTCAGTGCCCCTCCCTACATAGTCAGGTATTGCATGTTTTAAAAATTCTTGCAAAACACTTATTGAAAATTGCTGTTCAACAGCAATGACAAGCTAGCTAGGGTCTCTGTTCCATGAGCGTTAAGTTCCAGAGGAGGGGGAGAGGCCAGCAAAGAGATAAGTGGTATCATTTTACACATGGTCATTGTTTTGAAGAAAACACAGCAGGGACATGAGAAAGTGACATTGTGCCTTAATAGATCGCATCACTAGAGTCCTAGAGGGCCCTTCTCAATTATCCCTCATTTCTCAAGGCTGAACCCCTCTCGTGTGGGGTGAGATGACTTACGTTTGCATCCCCAGTATCTGTCTCATGAAGACCATTTTCTGACAATGTGTCTCCTTTCCTTCAGTTTTCAGTGATACATTCCTCATTTCCCTCTGAGCCTTCACGGGGAGTGCCCTTCTCATCCGTTTCTGTCTGTAGTGTGTTCATGCTGATAGAGCTGTTCTCTAAGATGGTACAGGTTTTCTCTTCCATGCTCCCTGCTTCCTTCTGAGCCCTCACTAGTAGAGTTGTTAACTCTGTATTTGTTCTAACAGTCCATTCAAGGCCATCGAGGCTTTCCTTATCATGCTTCTCAGATTCTTCCAGCCTTTGACCATGCCCAGTTCCAAAAGCATGTCCACATTCGCTGTGGCAGCACCCATTCCCAGTGTCCACATCTGTCTCAGCTTCCTGCTGCTGCGATAAAAAATTATCACTAGTGTAGTGACTTTAAAAGAACCTAGGTTAGAAGTCCTAAATGGGTCTCAGCCAGCAAAAGTCGAGGTGTCTGCAGGACTACTCTTTTTCAGGAGGCTCTAGGGAAGAACCTGTCTCCTAGCCTTTCCCAGCTTTGGAGCCTGCCCAAATCCCATGGGTTCTTCATCTTCCATCTTTATTTTTTTTTTAAATATTTTTTTATTGATTTTTTTAGAGAGAGAGGAAGGGAGAGAGAAATAGAAACATCGATGTGAGAGAGAAATATTGATTGGCTGCCTCCCGCATGCTCCCCTACTGGGGATCGAGCCCGCAACTCAGGTGTGTGCCCTGACCAGGAATCGAACTGGGACCCCTCAGTCCATGGGACGATGCTCATCCACTGAGCCACACCAGCTGGGCTCATCTTCCATCTTTAAAGGCAGCAGAGGCTGGTGGAGTCTGTCATTCAGGTCATTTGGACCCTGACTGTCATGTCTCCCTTTTCCCACATTTATATGTATTTTTAATCTTCAATATAGTACTTCGCTAGGGGAGGGGTGGTAGGCCCCAGAGGATGGGGAAGGTGGCCCTGGGGAGGTCAGGGAGCTTTGAGAATGGGTCCTGGCCAGGAACATCTGTACCTGTCAGGGGTGAAGGGCAAGATGGCCAGGATCTCAGAAGTGGCTATGCCAGTGTTTTGGGGAATATCATCGATTTCTTTCTTGTGGACCATGGTGGACATGGGCCGTTGGGGGTGACCTACACCTGGGTCCTCACCCATAGAGCTACTGCCAGAAGTTTTGGGAGATGGGTCACAGGTGCACGAAGTTGCAGAAGTCACCATGGTAAACTCCTGGAAGTCAGTGACAGGAGACAGCTCCCATGCACAGCCTGCCCATTGGACCGGCGGCTACTGACTTGTCACCCCCTGCTCTGCACCCTCTTCATGTCGAAGCTTGACATGGGCATTGCCCACGAGGTGGTCCCCCACGTTGTTGCACACATTCACCTCTTCAATCTTCCCGTCCCTCTCCTGCAGTTCTGTGA